ACTCCCTGAAAGAATCTCAGCATTTATAGAGAAAGATAGCTACTGAGTAGCAATAGTGACCATTAGGGCATGCAGACTTGGCAAAAGCAGCAAGAACAAGAGGGATCTGATCCAAGATAAGGGGCCCAAGAAAATTCAGCTGCGTCCATCAGACAGACAGAGCTCAGCAGCATGACCCCTGCTTTATGCATAAGAAAGATGACTAGGGAGGCAGGTAGACAGAGAGATGGAACCATGGCAGACAGAAACTATAGCTCAATTTTTTGTACAGCCTTTGAACAGAGTACACTTGGTCATTTTCATTCATAGTAGATCCTCATTTTTCGGTTTCTTTCCCTAATTCTGTGTTAAAACTAGAAAAGTCAGTTGGCGAAATAAACCAAGAAAGGCCATGTTTCGCACAACTATGGAAGAAATTTAAAATCAAGGTATAAGAAGGTGTTATGAATATGATGTGACATTCTTGTACATTTCTGCGAATATTTCCTAACCTTTTTAGGATCAGGCAATACAATAAAGATGGAAATTTTTTCATCTGAGGACATTAATGTTTAACTCTAAACTCGTGGCATCGAAGAATGAATCACCAAATCTAGATAAGGCATGTAGAAGCGCTCTGAAAACTTCATAGACTGTTCCTATGGAGGAGGTCAAGAGACAGAGAAGGGAGAGAGACAGATTCAGACAGAAGAGTGAAAAGGCAGGAAAAGAACTTGTGTCCTTTCTCCTGGTTCTCTGGGTGTCCATGCAGAGTCTGCCTACCGTGTCTCCGGCAGCCCAGTTAAGGGGCAGGGCGTCATAAAAAGAGAAACGAGACTTAAACAGAAGAAAGGAAACAAAAGTTGAGTGGAAAGAACAGAAATCCTGTTTGGCATATAAACCAAAAGGAAAACAGGCCATGATTCATTTCCCTAAGCTTAGATATTGTGTCTCTAAGTCGTCCTACTTTGGGTCCCGGCTTCCAAGAGTTCCCATTCTGAGACATACAGGTAGCTGCATAGTTCAGCTGAACCAGCATAAGTTACAGACATATAGGTGAGATGAAAGAGTCAGGGAAGTTTGCCACCTACACTATCGGTATCCTAGTCACTAATACCACTAATGACTGAGGAAAACCAAGCAAAGCAGGAGGAGGCTATATGGTTCCACTTTCTACTGAATGTTTTGCTAGCTACAGACCCAAATGCAAGCTCTTTCTTTTAGATGATTCCATTTCGTTTGGATCTTATTGGTTTCATGACTTGTCAGAGAAATGTGTTACAGTCTGTGAAGTCAGAACACATCATCACCTCTCCTATTGGTCCTGACAATTCGGAAAAAGGCAACTTCAATTCCCAGAAGGGCCTAAATAGCAAAATTAATGTAATTCTACTATTTTAACACCTACAGAGTAACTCAGCTAATGGTGATAAACATTGCCAATGCAGGACCCAGAGACAGAGTTGCAATTGTCATGTTATCAAGAAGCATAGATATTTATGTACAGGAGATTAGAAGAAAAATCTATATGGCCAAATTTTATAAGAATAATTTGCTTGTAATGAACGTACTGACTGATCAAGAGAATAAATCCTACTAAATGACTATATGCCATTTGTTCCTATATGAAGTCTGAAAATTTCCTCTCCTACCCCAATATTTAAAATATTTAAAAAAAATTTCTTAGGCTCTTTTGGAGATCTTCAGGGTTTGAAATGCTGCAGAACCTAAAATTTTAGGCTCTCTCCTTTTCTGCCACCAGCAAGATACTCCTTGCCTCTGTTCTGTTCCTCTTAACAGGGCACATGGGTGGATCTTAGTCTTACTCTAGTCCTTGTAATTTCCAAACATGAACATGTAACTCCTCATCATTTGTTGATTTTGATAGAAATAATAGTTTAAATTGAAAATGTGGGGAAATTATAAACCATTGGTGTTCAGATATGTAAGGCTTTTTAAACAAAGTCTTTTTTGAAAAATATATAACTTCAAATACTCTGTTTTCTCAAGTAGCTCCCATGAACTTTTTACTCTCCTGGAATCTCTCTGCCCAGCCTGTCCCACCTGTCAGCATATTTAGGATAGCAGTGCTCAAAGCTGCCAGCATTGGCAGAGTGGGCAGAAGGGCCCCTCACTGTGGTGTTTTGCTCATTAAATCTGGGACTTGAACTCCAGTGCTGAAGAGTTATAGAGCATTATCTGTTTTAGAATTTGGATGAGGTGTTGTCTCTCCTAGGGACCTCGGGACTGAGATGGAGACAGAGAGGCCACCACTCTCCTGTCTGCTGCTCCTCTTGCAGCCCTCTTTGATTCTGAGGCTTTGTTGTTCAGCCCTGCTTCCTGACTCATTTCTCTCTTGTAAGGAGCTGCCTCCCAGACCTGCCTCAGTCCTCTCTGAGAGTGACATTTTGCCTAGTACCAGTTGGCCTGCATACCCTCTGGCAGTGGTACAATATGGGCTTGTTTCCAGAAGGCTGCTGGGTTGCAGGCAGCAAACATGCATTAGGCTCCACCGAGAAGAGTTAACCCCAGGGAGCAGATAGAAAGCCACACCGATGCTGAGATCCCCTGTGAAGCCATGGCCCGTAGTTCCTGGTTTGGGGATAGTAATTGGAAGTCCTGCATGTTGGCCTTCTGCCCTCCACTTTATTTCTGAGTGTAGGGCTTGCCAGGGCCTCCCAAAGAAAATGGAATGAATTTCAAAGTTACGAGTTTTGGCAAAGCCTACAGCGGGAACCACGCGTTCTCAATGTCAGGAAGCCTGAGTGGTTGCTGCCTGTTGTAATGAGCTCTTTTAGCTGTTTAATGAGCACAGTCTCTTTAGATACTACCTGACAAACCACAGAGTATAATCTTTACCAATTTCTGGTTATCTTTCCACAAATTCAGAATTTATTGGATCAAGTAAATGAGATTTTCCTGATTTCAACTTTCACATCAAGATGCTGTGTACTGCATTCTGTGTGATTATTGTCGAGGATGGAGCAGCTTTCAAATTTTTGAATATAAAAATACAACCTTGACTACTCCTCCCTTGAAAAACTTCAGAAGATTTTTCTCCTATGCAAAAAAAGGCTCAACTTCAGATGTCATAAATGTGCTAGACAAAGATAAGAGCCAAATCTGAGATAAGTAAAACATTTACTCTGACAGTTGTTAAGTCTGTTCTTGATTTAGAATCTAGAGCTATCAGTCATTTGTCTCTGAAACTCACCACTTTAGCATTCAGTTTCCAGGTCTCTTGGTTGTTACCATGATTTTCTAACTCGCTTTCTTCAAAATCACTCACTATGTTGACCCCCATCTTGATTTCATGTGTTTCCTCAAAGGTCCCAGAGACCCTGGATAGACAGTAAAGTTGACTGTAAATTTAAGGCCACCTCCATGTCCTGCCTGAAGTGAGTTGATTTATGACTCAGTGTTTAGTAAGCACTCAGAAATCCTCCTATGAAATGCAAGATCCAAGTGCTTCACTTTATTTGTCTTTTGTAAAGTGTCCAGTACCATGACAATATTTCCTAAGTAAATAATAAATGAAATGAAACACACTTCCTTCTCCATTTTAATAACGTACTATTCATGCATTTTTTTCTTCTGGAACAAAGAATCATTGTAGGAAGTTGCTTTGCCAATATTAGGCTGATATCTTATTGCAAGCAGAATAAAGAGATAAAATGGCATGCTAACAGGAAAACTGATAAGGTTTCTTTCCAAAACAAAGGACAGCAAGGCAGTAATACAGAATATGAAAGGCCAAGAGACTGTTTACTGGAATTAATACAAATATGAATGCATGTTCTTTGGCATTCTAGTACTTTCTCTGGTTATAAAATAATACTGAGATATCCAGAGGAAACTTCAAATTATAATTTCTTTATCAATTATATGCTGTTTTTGCAAATCTATTGTTCTTCTCTGTTGTGATCTTGTTTTTAAGCAAGTCTGACAGAGATGTTTAACAGAGATTAGAACCATAGCCAACCATTTCCGGTGGGAATTGCGCTACCAAATATTTTTCCTCAAATTGTAGAAAATTGCCATTTGTAGAGTCCACATGATATTTAGCTTCTTAATTTAGGATTAAACATCTGTAATTTGTTGTTAGGACATCCAGAGACCTTGCAAAACTGTATAATATGAATATGTCTCTCTTTTTTTAGTTCCATAGTGTCTCTGAAGCAAATTATTCTGTAAAGATTTGTTGATGGTCAAAAGAACCACTCTATAATTTTAGAGTGAAAACTCTGAGGTCTTCTGCAATGCAATGTTGACATGTTTTCATCCAAATGTGCCACTGGCTGACCAAGGATGTGATAGTGGTTACCACTCAGCTACCTCCTATGCCCCAGCTGGGATCTGGTGGAACAGAAAAAGATTAACTTCCGGTCTAACTTCTCTGGCTTTCAACAAAGATGGAGACACTATAATCACCATTGGAAGAATTTATAAATGGCCATAATTTCCTTCTGGATTTCCCCAAAAACTGTCAGGCAGCACAGAGAATGACTTAGTTTTAAAACATAAAAGTACATAAGTACTCTTTTAATGATTAAGATAGCTGACGAGCTTAGGATTTCTGATGGATCGAGGGAAACATAATTGACTTTGAACCTTTTATTTGCAATCTTTTCAGGTTAGTTCAATTCTGTTTCTTGAAATAAATTCATAGAAGACTTCCAGGGAAAAGCTGCATTTGAAGAATGACAAGGATGGTATTGGAATGAAATTCATGAGGGGATATAATGGAGAGTATTGTGGGCAAAGTGAAGAAGTGGCAAAGTTTTGGGGGTGCTTAAATATTGGCCAGGGTTCCCCAGTAGTGCTAGCAGTACAAATGAAACTAGTAAAGCTCTGCAAAATCCTCACAGATGGCTGGCCATGATATGTCATTTCCACTGGGAGGCTATCTCTGTCTTGCAATACTGGGCAAGTGCCATGTGTCTGGGATTCTGGAACCCTCTGCCTTTGTTCCAAAGCATTCAATGTAGTTCATAGTGCAAGTTATGCATTTACTAGCTTTTATTTGTTATCTCTTTTTCTGTTTTAGGCTCTGTAGAGAAAAGGCCTTGTCTTGACTGCTTTCATTTTGTCATGGTCAGTGCTTCTGGACAGTGCTTGGAAGGTACTCAAGAAATATTTTTTGAACTGAATGAAAAATGCAAATGTTTTCCTTACGTGATGTCTTTTAAATGTTTTACCTTTTTTTCCCCCAAAGACCTTAGACTAGTCCAAATAATTGTTTTAAGGTCATAAAGTAACAAATTTTCCATAAATGTAGACATACATTATAATTAAACTACTAAAAATGAACTTATATGTATCTATTACAGAGGGAATAGAATACAGTATCAAATGAATAAGCTTTGCATCCACCTAAAAGACATTAAACTGCTGAAAGGACCTCCTCATAAGGGAGTTCTGTCTGTAAAATGACTTGCCAGCATAAGCGACTATTTGAAAAGTAACATAAGCATGGGCAAATCCCTTATACTCTGCTAGGGATACTCTGTGCAGAGAACCCTGGTCTTTGAACCAGAAAACATGGGCTCTAACTCTAAAAATTGATTGTGATCCTGGAAAAGTTATGCAAATTCTCTGATCTTTACATTCAATCATATTACCAATTCTGCCTGCTTTGAAGATTTGTGAAGATAAATCTGTCTAGACATGAGACAATACATTATAAAGGCTTCTCCCTCTTATAACCGTCTGTGAAGTAAGCTGATCTCTTGAATCCTATGGTGCCTTTGGTTTACCAGTTGAATAGCAGATTCTGGGCCTTAGGATTTTTAATTTGTTATTCAGTCCATTGACTAGACCCTCCTGACTCTTTTAGTCTCTCAAGGAAAAGAATATGAATCATAGGTAGAGCAATGTAGGACCATAAAAGTTTGTCCTTGGCAGGACATTTTATAACCTCGGCATTTAACACCAAATCCCAGAGACAGTTTCAGCTTCCAGGCAGTTTCTGTGTACAGTGCACTAAAAGTTGGACAGAAACCTCCAGTGACAGATTCTGGCCCCAGTTTTGGCAAGTGCTGGTGGGTCAGATGCACACTGTTCCTCAGCACATTTCTCCATTCTCTCACCTTTCAGGCTGTCAGGGGATGGCTCTTGCCAACAGGTTGGAAGACCTGGCCAGGGTCCCTTCAGTGCTGCTCACTGTAGGTTAGTGTGTCACCAACTCTATTTCTGCATTAACTATTTTGACAAAAATCTAAACTTGATAGGAATTTATCACTCCCTGGTGGCCTTTGGTCTCAGTTCATGACAGGTTTATTATCTTTGATCTGCCAAATCCAACAAGTAGAGGATGGAGCTTGATTTCATATACCAGGTACAATTGACTTTAATTATCTTCTTGAAATCAGTCTTGCAGTCACAGATGATGGACTGAAACCCCAAAGCACCCTCTAGTTTGCACAGTCTCTAAAACCATAATATGCACATATAATATAGTTAGTGCTATTTGTCACAAAAATGCTTTTTATTGAGTCGTGATTTATGATATGTTCCATTTTAAATCAGTTGTTTATGTGTGATAGATCTATAATTCTGACAGGAAATAGCTACACAATGTAAATGTGTAACCAGCCAAGGCTGGACCATAGACAGATTATTTCTCTATTTGGCCTGCTAAAACTGGTCACATGTAAAATCCCCTTCTTCACATCTGGCTAGTGATGGGAAGACTAGAAGCACAGTGCCAAGGGGAATCAGTCACGTCCCACTAGCTGGTCATGAGAGTCAAAAAGGTTTTCAAAGTTTTAAATATTTTTCCCTAAAATGTTACTTGCATCCTGTCTGGTGCATCAGCGAGTTTATACACCAGCCAGTCAGCTGTGGAACTAGAGCTTGATTAAAGCACTGTGTCCCCTGCACCCACTCCTGCATATGGGCGTGCATGTGTCTACCACAGGTTCCTTGGTGGGCATGTACAGCACAGCGGAGTCAAAACTCAATGAGCGTCCATGGCAGAGCAGTCATTTTTCACCCATCTTGTGCTCTTTTGAGAACCAGAGGAAAACTATGGATCTTCTCCTTGGCGGGAGATTTATTAGAAGGGATTCATGAACTACCCATGGGCCCAGCAGTAAGAACTTGTACGTGGGAGCAGAGATAACTAAATATGCAACCACAGTGGAGTCGTCTATTCTCCTGCTGTGTCATTTTCAGAGTGCTGTGTGCTCCCAAGGGAGGAAGTGCTCCACATTTTCACCCAAGAGAAAGACCCAATTGTCTTATCCACGATCCAGCATATGTTTTGACTATTATCTGTTAAAAATATAGTGAACTCTCCCTGTCCTATCAGGGGTACGAAATCTCTTCATAAGTCATAATGTTCTATCATGACACTGACAGTCGCAGGCACTGTATTTGGGGAACTGACAATGTATGATTACAGCAGAGGCATCTGGTTGTATCTGGGGCATTTGGTGGCTTCTGGTGGTGGGAGGGTGACCCTGGGCAGCTGTCAAGACCTGTAACCCTCCGTAGGGTGATGGCATTAGTGGTGGGAGTTGAAGTTCTGGAGTTGAGTCTTGATCCCACCTCTGCCAAGTGGCTCTGTGACAAGACACTTTCTACTCACTGGCTCAGATTTTTTATCAGGAAAACCAGCTAGCAATATGTTGTTTGCCTGCCTTGCTGGACTGTTGTGAATCAAAGACCCTATCTGCTGTGAAAAGTCAGCCATTTATGAGGTTATTATTATTAGTATATAAATATATACATTTATTAATGAAATGAAGAAAATGGAGAAAAAGGCATCATATTACGTGTTTATAGATTGATTGCTTAATTTGTTTCTTACTTAAGCACATGGCAGAGTGCTTGGCTGCCTGGTTCTGGCTGTGAAAGATACGTCTAGAAGTTACTGATCAAAATATATCCAGGAACTCTGCTTTGGCTGTGCAATGGAATCTTCCACTGGAGATTTTCACATTTTATATTTTGCAAAGGGAACATTTTCCAAAACCTTGTTTGCTTTTTAAGAAGCTATCAATTATATTCTAGCTTCTGCAAGAATAAACACCCATATGCTCTCTTTCAATTCTTTCTTGCCTTCCTCCTTCTCAACTGTCTCTCCTCACCTCCTCTTCTCCCTGCCTATTCACTGCATATTTGCAGTCCCTTCTGGACTGCCCACACACTTGGATACTGTGGGTCAAGCAGTGAGCGTATCCATAGGAACCTGAAAAGAACCAGGCAGTCTCTGCTTTCCAACCCACATGTTTGTGGTGTGGCCAGATTGGCTAATGAAGGAGTTTTGTTCCAATTGGGACACTTAGGAATAGTCAAGGCAGAAGCTATCAGCTTTAATCCAGGCCGTGGGATAGGAAAAGGTGCTTGGGGGCAGTTGTAACCCATTTCCTCCTGACTGGATCCTGGAATTTTGCTTTCTTTTCTAAGCTCCAAATTAGGCAGGATACCACTCTTGGAACCAAGGCTCCAATTTATAAGCCATTGGGTGACACTTAGGATGCAAACTATGGCACCTATATTACTATTTTCTGGTCTTGTCCATCAGGTTAGCAATATTACTGACTCCCCAAACTACTCTATCCAGTCTGGACGTGAGGCTCTAACCAGCCTGGTACTCCACCAAGTTCTCTTTATCTTGAGAGAGGGGTTTATTCTTTGATTCAACAATGTATTGTGTATCAGATCCAGATATTTTAATAAGTGCTAGAGAAAAATTCAATTAAATAAGATAAACTCCCTACTTATAAAGAAGTTAATGGTCTAGTGGAAAGAATAAAAACATACCCAGCAAATTACAGCATGCAATAGGTGCCATTTCAGGACCAAGCATTGTAAGAACCATGGGCAACAGTAATGAGTGTTGCTTATGTGCACAGGGGCATAAAATAGGTGACTTTTGACTTGAGATGTACAAGATGACCTAGATTCTAACACGTGGAGGAGAAACAACTTGGCCAAAAGGAAGTCAGGGATACAGGAAGAGGCTGAAGGAAGTGTGAGTAGGGTGTCTAATAAAGCTGGAGCCCAAGACTTGGTGCACAGGGGCAGAGGATTGGGAGGATTTTGGAAGGATCAACACTTAAAGGCACTTGGAGACTGGGATCAAAAACCAGCTAAACCAGGTATTTTAAAAATACTTTTTATTAAGACAAACTCTAAACTTGCAGAAAGTTCATTGAGAGTGTTTTTGCTGGTGAGTGATAACAGCAGATATGTGTTTTAGATGGATGCTTTGGGGGAACATGAAAAAGGGATGGGTGATGGGGACGGGAAACTGTGGAAGACAGGGAAGCCTTTAGACAGCTGTGGGAAGCAGTAAGCCAGCAGCCATGGATGCAAAGTAGAGAGGGCCAAGAGGAAGAGGAGCTTGGTGGGGAATCAGACACATCAGGGCCTTGGTGCAGGCTGCGTAGAAGGGTTTGGGCAGTCAGCAATGTTAGAAGCTGGTGGAGGAGATGGCGTGGGCAGGATGTGGACACAACATAGTAGTCTGGATCGTGCCTGTCCTCTGAGCTGGATGTGTTGGAGGCGTGGTCCTACTGGGATGTGGTCCTACTGGGAGATGGTAAAAGGTCTTTAGGTCACTGAGGGTTTGCTCTTGAAGGGAAATGTGGGACCTTGGCCTCAGTCCTCATTCTCTTGTGTTTCCTGCTGATAAAACAAGGAGTTTTATTCCATCATATATTTATGCCAGTATGCATTGTTTTGCTGCTGGCCCAAAGCAATAGGATCGATTCACTATGGACTGGAATCTCCAACATTTTTGAGCTAAAACAATACTCTTTTTTTTCTTTATAAGTTGCCTATGCCGTATGTTTCATTATAAAGACAGAGATGAGTACAGTGAGCGTCGGGGGTCCTCGGAGGAGGGGAGCCTGCACTCAGCGCAGTGCTCTCAGGCTATTTGGAGCTCCCAGCTGGGCAGGGCCAGGGGCTGATCCTGTTAGTAAGTCTGTGTCCTGGGACCAACCTTTTGGATATCAGAAAGCTGCTTTTTAGTCCTCGCTGAGCTTTCCCATCACCAGAATAAAACCATTTCAATCCCTTTAGTCTTCCTTCAAGGACCTTTAGGAACGTAGGTTGATCTCATGTTTTCTCATATCCCACCTAAAACACGAAGCCACAGGCTAAAAACAA